AATTATTTGTTCCCTGAATGTTCATCAAGGAAGTGAATTGAATGTTCCCAAGGACCATCAAAACGTTGAAAGAACTCCCTCTTTAGGATTCAACCAACAAGCAATGAACATCTTAGAAACGTTCCCTTCACCATTCAAATTGCTCTTAGAACAAGTACAGCCCTGCTCCCGTGCCAGGGGCCATTATGCAGCTGAGTCTGATTGGGAGTACTACCTTCCCTGTGGAGGACGGTAGTAATCTTCCTTCCCGTCTCCTTGTGGGGTTTAAACTTCTTTCAAAGGAGCAGAACTCTTCGGAATACCTTTCAACTCAGAACTTCTCCAGCTCCGGAGTAACGTTTCTGAATAGATCCTTTGGATGGAGTCTTTCATCACATCTGGATCTCCTCTTGAGAGTTACATACAANCAAGGTGACTTGTGACAGGTAAATTCTGAAGTGGACTAGTGGGATGCTCGTTTTACTCGGCGAATATTTGACGTTTTATCGATTGTCTGAGGGATTCCTGCGATCTATTCGGTTTGTGTGGCTCAGCCCTGCATCCGTATTACTGGAGATCCGACCGAAGTCCATCTTAAGCCCGATACCATCTTCCAAGGTAAAAGTGAATCATAAGTCAGGCTCGAATGAGCGATGAATGGTGATGCATAGGAAATTGGAAATCTCCCACGGTGCCGTCGCTCGAGGAGAATGTGCATTTTCATCTTTCCACCTTTTCTCCGTGAAATAAGTGCATCATAGAGAAAGTATCTGTCTCATCCGAAAGTCCTTTTGCCTTTACGATCTTATCTATCGAATACGTCATTTCCCTACTAGGATAGATGTGCATGTGAACATCCCGATGATTTGTCGGTAAGAAATCAAAGCGGAGATGCAATGAATCGTAAATGCTCTGGAGTGAGAACTTGAGTGGCTTCCTTTCTCCATTTGGTGAAACAATCCCATTATATTGCCAAAGAGCAAGTCATCCAGTCGCGATGGATTTCCTTCGATCATCAGCTAATGCGACGTTCAACCTATCTTAGCTTTACTGTCTCCAGGACTCCCAGTTTATTTTTTATTTTTTAAAATTCAAATATGGGGCTCTTGAAGGTCTGCATTTCCTTCGGTCATGACGAGAAATGTATGCATTCGAGTCCGTCCCAAGCCGCACCGGAGCATTCAAGAAATGTTCAACGGATGTCCCATTTGAGGTACAGCCAACGTACAACGAACGTCCCCAGAAATGTTCTATTGACTGTTCAAATGTCCGAAATTTAAGGAGCCCAAAAATGTTCAAATTATTTGTTCCCTGAATGTTCATCAAGGAAGTGAATTGAATGTTCCCAAGGACCATCAAAACGTTGAAAGAACTCCCTCTTTAGGATTCAACCAACAAGCAATGAACATCTTAGAAACGTTCCCTTCACCATTCAAATTGCTCTTAGAACAAGTACAGCCCTGCTCCCGTGCCAGGGGCCATTATGCAGCTGAGTCTGATTGGGAGTACTACCTTCCCTGTGGAGGACGGTAGTAATCTTCCTTCCCGTCTCCTTGTGGGGTTTAAACTTCTTTCAAAGGAGCAGAACTCTTCGGAATACCTTTCAACTCAGAACTTCTCCAGCTCCGGAGTAACGTTTCTGAATAGATCCTTTGGATGGAGTCTTTCATCACATCTGGATCTCCTCTTGAGAGTTACATACAAGCTACGTTCCGAAGCGATGATATAGACTGTCAGGTGTATTTCTTCGGGGAGAACATGGAGGCCGCTTCCAAGACGAACTATCCTCCATAGTCCGAGCCAGATTTATCTGGAGACTCCTTTGACTGGGTTACCTCTTTAGACAAATGTGTTGAATAATTCGAATGTCTCCTCCTCAGGTATATGTGAGGAAAGATCGGGTACCGTATGAAAGTATTGGGGACTGATTCCAGCTCTATCAGTGAAATCGGTGAATTAGGCGTCATCTCATTTCTGTTTTGAGAACTTGATTTATTCGAACTGCTGCCAGATGGCTCGGCCGCTGGCACAGATGGGCTTAAAGAAAACGTTCTACATTGTGTTCAACTTACGTCCTTCAGAAACGTCATGAAGAATGGGATATTAGTGATCAATCGCACCTAAATTGAGGGCCCAAAAGCTGCTCTTCCGTGAGCATTGAACGTTCCAAAAACTCTTTGAACAAAGGTTGATCGTTTTCGAGGACATTCAAGTGTTACTTGGGGTGCATTCCATTTTTAGGCATCCGATCGATGTTATCTGTCGCCTGTCGCTTCCACGTCGTGTCAACGAACCCCAGTACTGAAGGCTTTCCCCTCCAAACAACCTCCCTGGGAAAAGGAAGGGCGGTGCTCACATGATTAATCTACTGTACATGGTGGACCTCCTTGAGCCACTGGTTGATCGTGGCTCTTGCTGGAGCCCTTCCTGACATTTACGTTGGCTTTGTTGCAGGTGTTCCGCATCACGTAACCCCTCTTTGTAAGGCATATCTTGCAGCTTTTGCCAAATTCGGTAATCAATGGGATTCAGGTCGGAGTTACTGCGTGACCACCAACCGGGAATGATGAAATCACGGCAGTTCTGAAGACATCTGGCAGTGTACTGAGATTGGCGGTAGGACGCATCATTCTGCTAGAAGGTGTGCAGATTTTTTAATATCAGGAACCATCTCAGAAAAGATGTCATGGCAGTCGTATTCAGAGCTAACTTTAGCACCTATCTCCGCGAAAAATATCTTCCTTTCCCGAGAGTTGATATTCCCAAGGAAATCAGAAACGACGGATAAAAATTTTTTCAATAACTGTTGGAGGCCAAAGGAAATATTCTTAATGGGATGAAGAGCTTTTAGGATATCAAGAAAAGCTGTTGAATGGTTTAATATAAATACCTCAAAGGATGAATATAAAACCTTCGGAGTTTGAATATAAATGATGGTTGTATCGGTGGCCACTTTTGGTCAATGGACCGATGGCCTATTATGATCTCAAACCCATTGGCCGATGCCGATGCCGATTGTGACATTTAGACAAGGTGCTGAAATCATATTAGATGCTCAATTAAATAGACCATTCATGAAGGCACGTCACTTTTTTTTAGGACTGTGTGCCGCTGGCTGTTTTGAAAGCATAGATGTGTCGACCTGAATTATCAATGACCCATCGATCCATGGCGTTGGGGGAGGGGAGGGATAGAGTCATCTCACGTCTCGATCGGGAGAAGCTTTGACATCCGTTGTTTCTCGCGTCGATCGGGGCGCAAGCATCTCTCGTCATCATTCGTCCGTGATCGGGGTTGGAGAGGGCTGTAACATTCGAGATAAGAAATGAAGCCATCGATGCCTCAAACTATCAGCAGTAACATAGATGAATCGCGGTGGTCCTACTCTTTTCCTGCTGCTGTTGAGAATCATTTGCCGAGATGCGTTCACGTATTTTCCCCTTCGTTTGGCATGATCTTTGGGCATCTGCATCGGCAGCTTGTAAACTTACCGGCACCCGATACCGATGGTTGCCAATGCATCGGTACATCCCTAACATAAATCCCTTTCCGGATAAGAAAGCTTGGAGTGAATCCCTTCTGGGATATACAGGTATGTCAATCCGTCCATAACTGAGTTGAGAAAATATCCTCAAGGCACATGTATGGATCAGCCCAAACTTTCTCCCTTTTTATCCCTCTTTAAAGTGTTCTCGAGAAATCGAAGAAAAAAATATTAATATAGGTCCACCAATAAACATGGAAGCTTTTGCAGGGTTTTCTGTGGAACCCCTTCCAGAGGATCAATAAATATCCAACATTGAATTCGCGAGACCCAGGTATGAATCCCTTATTTGTGAAATAAATAAAAAATCTGCTGACAGTGCGGGGCCTGGAACCTAAACATTGACTGAAGGTGCGTTATACCAAGTAGACTCCATTATGGCGTCTGAGAACGCGAAATTGCTCACTATTTCCGTGAAAAAGTGTCTCCTTCCAAACCATTTAATATATTAATTGATAGAGGCCGAAAATTGTAGTGGCTTTCACTTCTAACGCGCGAGGCCCACGATGCCTTGACATTCTAGGCCATAGGCCAGGCCATCCACGGCCCTAAGCGTTGGGCCTACAAGGCTCTGCCATCCTGGACCATAGGCTAGGCCATACGAATTGAAAGAGGCCGATAGCGGTGGAGAACATTTCACTCATTCGCGGTCTAACAGGCATGGCCTAGAAGGCTATGCCATTCTAGGCCATTGGCTACGCTATAAAAAAAAAAAACAACTTTGGTATATTTTTAATATAATATTAATTTCAAATTTCCTTAATAAATTAAAGATTCATTCATGAAAGCCAACATTTCGGGGACACACAGTCACCTTCTTTGGGAAAGCATTTACCCTGAACTTCGACGATCTCCCTGAAGAAAGGAGACTTTGCATCCCCTAAATTTTGGCTTATATCAATATATCGACCAGTTTAGGGCGCCTCTGGATGATTCTTAGTTTGTATTTTCCCCACACGAAAGAGAGGTAAATCAGCAAAATATTAATATAGATATAACGATTTTTTTCCCGTAGGATGCGGAAACTACAATATTGGAACAAAGGGTGTGTCACATGTATTCCATTTTCCTCAACAACTTAATTTCAGCAGGAATTGCTTCGGTGTCAAAACCTAACGGAACCGTGAGGGAAAGAAGAACTGAGGGAAATTGGTTTTATTGCATTTGATTATTTTTTGTTGAATTATAAAACAAAAATCGGAGCATGGGGAACATCATGCGTTGGGAAGGGAAGTCACAAGAGAGTGAGAAGGGCATTAATAATTTTCAGGCTGGTTAACCTCGTTGTTCACCAGGGAGTGTTATCGTCATCAGCCAGACCTTCATCCCCATAATGGAATGGCTTCCTTGTCTCTGATGCGAAAAATTATACACGAGATAGGAACCGGGTGGGCGTCCTGTTTGCTCATTGCTGATACTCCAATTTCATTTCTCTCAACTCTCTCATCAAAGTTATATGCGATGGATTTCTCGTTGGATGCACCTGTATAGGGAGAGCTGCGATTCGGAGGTAAACGGAATCCTCCGTCTCCATTACCAGAGGCCGTACTTTCTACCCGAGACTTCTGAAGGCTCTCGGATCGACTGGATCTTCATGGGAACACCTGGATACGGCGCACATATGCATGTGAGATTTTCACTTCACTCACCACAGCAAGGAACGACGAGAATCCGTACTTTCTACCCGAGACTTCTGAAGGCTCTCGGATCGACTGGATCTTCATGGGAACACCTGGATACGGCGCACATATGCATGTGAGATTTTCACTTCACTCACCACAACAAGGAACGACGACAAAATTTATGTGAAAGTGCATGCATTTTCATGGATACGAAAAGAGTTTTTAAAAATCCGCGAGATCAACTCTGGTGACAAAAGATGGCTTGATAAAACGGAAAAATGGCTAGATTGAAGAATATTGCTGTCGATATTGCAGGTGGACCACGTTAAGAACCCATCTTGGCAGGCGCAGGTCCGAGGGAAGAAACTATGGTCCTTGAAACCCCCACCGGAATGCTTCTATGAATGCCATTCCTTCCAAGACATCGTTCAACCGGGAGATATCAGTGAGAACATCCCCTCTCTTTGTTTTTTTCCTTGTTCTGAGGGAAGAAACTATGGTCCTTGAAACCCCCACCGGAATGCTTCTATGAATGCCATTCCTTCCAAGACATCGTTCAACCGGGAGATATCAGTGAGAACATCCCCTCTCTTTGTTTTTTTCCTTGTTCATTAGTCGAAGTACTTCCACAGGAATCTAATTGAATATACTCGTGTCTGTTTTCATGTGATCAGTCGTACTGGACACGAACAAGTGGTATCATTCCACATTGATCGTGTCGGAGGAGATGAGCATCACCATCGGATCCGAATACGATTGATGTTTTACGTGAAACCAAGAAATACACCATTACGCAAACTGTCTACTTTTCCTCTTTCACAAACAAACATGGCCGAACACTCGCGAGTTGGAGGAAAATCGAGTGAATCTGAGGCTGATTTCAAAATAGCCGTTCAGTTGCATTCGGTTCTAGTCTCAGTTCAGACTTTGATCAGACTGAAGTTCTCCTGTGGTATTGTCGACTATTATCATAAAGAAATCCCAACAGGAACTACGACTCAACTAAAACCGGAACTGAACAGCTACTGAACTGCGACTGGACTGCATTATTTAAATCAGTCTGAGACTCTATTTCGATAGAAAAATATTCATCAGACTCGAAATTTGTCTGTTGTCATTGCCTGCTCGAAAGACTCAACAGGTGGAAAGCCATCCTCATTCACTTAAAGTGGACCATCTGAGAGGGAGAATTGAAACCATGTGATTCCGTTCGCCTCGTTTCATCAAGAAAATACAGGTCGTGAAAAGGCAGTGCTCGCGATTAAGGACGTATTTGTTTCTCAAACACTAGCACAAATTTTCATGAATAAGAGAAGAAAAGTGGCCTTTATAGGAGACCTCCACATCATCGAGTCTTCACCGACCCTAACATTCACGTCACCACGTTCAATCCCCTTATATACTTTACCCTGGGGAAACTCCGATCTGTCCTTGCGATAATAGTTGAAATGGCTGGGACCTAGACGTTTCTATTACTGGGAGAAATACTGCGGAAAGATTTTTTCCTTCTCCAACTGAGGTCACAGATGGCCTCGCCTCGGCTCAGTTCAGACAATGCTGTAATTGTAAATTTGCATTTAGATATACTCTTAGGAGGCTAAACGTCATCACAGTACACCCTCACAAATAACGAGGTTTCATCAATTGTGATCAAATTATTAATGCATCTGAGGCGTACTTGTAAATTTTTATTTGGGTGCTGTGCAGTAAAAAAAAAAAGGAACGTGGGTATAAAGACTCCGAAAAACAGGAACGAAGGAGGAGCTCCGAGGGAGGGGGAATCTGGGCGAAGGTTCGATGTAAGTTTTCCCTTTCCCAGAATTTCCTCGCGGACTGCATAGAAGCGATCCATTAGCCACCCATTCGCCGCCTGTTTTAGCAGAGTCAATTCGTTGCAACACTCACGGATAGTAAAATGTTTCCTACCCTATAATTGTAAATCCGTGCATACCCTTTCTCTACCCGTAAGAAGATCCACGTATAAGCTGCTTGCCGGAAATGTTGAAAGTGTTCATCAGATATACGGTCAACCTTCGATAAAACGTCACTGTTGGTCGCCGTCTATTTTGGCGCTATAACACGGGTGGAGCTAAATCGAACGAACCGCAATATGCTAGTGGCTGCGATGTAGAAATCTCCGAAGGTCAAATCGACTAAATGGATGTGAAGATTATATTGCCATTCTTAAGTCTTCTTCGATACTCTACATTCGTCCTGTGCACTATTCATTCCACGGCAGTGGGTCACCTCTCTAGAGGGTAAGCATATTCAGCTGTGGAATGAAAAAGAGTTGGGGCTAAGGTGACTAAAAACTGGTTGCGGCACGTACGGCTACTTGGCGCAAACTCGAGTAGGATTTATTTAGAAAAGATCATGTTTGTACTAATGATGGAGTTGGCGGATGGCGGGGGTGGCGCTATAACAGGGGAACGTCTATTATAAACTTATGGAAAGATTTGTTCTCAGGAAGAGCTGCGGTAAGTGAGAGTGGCGGTATACCGAGTGGTGATATATTGAGGGTTGACTACACCAATTCCTGCGTATATCGTCGAATACAACCCTGGGCGTAGAGTTTCAGTAAAGTTAGTTCATCCCTTAAGGCTGACATCCTCACTTCCAAGCGTTTCAGATCTTCCTTCGATTTAGGACAGCGGGGTATGAATTTTGGAGTTTGTTTGCATATGAATTTTAAAGGGAGCCAAAGCATTGTGGTTCCGCAAGTCAAAAGTGAAGTGAAAGCATGCGCTACATCTGGTCTGCAGCAATAGCTGAGGGACAACAGAAGAGAAGACCTACATAAGAGGGAAAATCCACTTATAGTTCGTTGATATTGTGACGGATGAGGATGGCATCGAGAGGGCCGACTGAATGTCCTGGGTTCGGTGGTGTAATGGTAGCACACCTGACCGGCAATCAGGAGGCCCGGTTTCAATTCCCGGCCGTTCCTTGGCTTCTTTCGGCCTCTCTTACCGTCCGTCTCCACTTTCCCTCCGTAACAATATGTCTTCTTTTGAAGGTAGGCCCTTCAACTGATCTTCGCCTCATTGCGGAGATCTTCCTATCGTGCATATTTCTTATCTGTTATTCCGTTATAGAAGTCACTATGGATTCTTGCACCAGTTTGCAAGAAATGAATTACCGCGTACTGTTTAACTTATTTTCTATCTCACTGAATCGCGAAATTTACCGATTGTTTACGGAACCCTGACCACGGATGCGGCTGTCTACTGAAGACAAATTTTTCTTAGTTTGTACAGTTTCCCATTATCAATAACTTATTCACCCAATAATGTCTGACTGTCCAAGGAAAAGAATAATGATTCGAAGGACACGATGAATGAGGATAGGAAGGGAAAGGAAAGATGTGAAAATACAGAGGCACGGATGTACTGCATTCTCCTGACTTACAGCATCGTGTCATACGCGATGCACAGTTTCTGCTCCTATCGACGGGTTTCCCACTCTAAGAGCCCTAACCTAAGCTCAAGGGGAGTAGTGACGCCTCTTATCAAAGCCCAGGCGAAGGTAAAAAAAAAAAAGTACAAAGAAAAGATGTAGGAAGACAGAAAGACGCAGGTTGAGGAAGGAGGAAAACAGATGGAGCAACCCTGCTTGATTTGTAATTCCTGGACACTCACGTGACTCTTCGTGTTCTCGCATCCCTCACGAAGTCACTCTCTTCTCTTTCCTCCCATTTTATTTCCTTCATCGCAAGGTCTGCCTGAAATGTCAGATTTTCCATCATCAGCCAGGCCAGGGAAGCTCCTCGCCATCATCGGTGACGAGGTAAGATCATTTCATTCCCTTCACATGTCAATTTCGCAACTTGTGCGTCTGTAAGCTATTAATAAGGATCAGATTTTTTCAACATTCAGGCTCATTTTTCTGCTTCGTTCCTTCATCTCGAAAAGAGGCGAAGAGATATTCGTCCTAGGAAGTTGCAATGTGGTATTCTATGAGCACATTACCGCACGTTTCAGCGTTTGAAAATGTAAGGCATGAAAAGGGACTCACTTTTTTTTTTTTAGATCTAACCAATTCACCAATAGACTAATTTCACAGTGATTATGGAGTGATGTGCTTCACACCAGTGCCATACCGAGGATATTTGGCGCCCTGTGCGAGATATCCCCCCCCCCCTCTATGCCTCTCCAGCTACCCCAGCACCAACAATCCATTACGTATTAATTTCTGTGCTTGATTTAGTTAAATTCAGGATTATTTGTAATTTTTTTTAAAGGTTTTATTAATACAATATATTGTAGGGATTTGGCAGCCAATCGGTGCCCCCTCAAGTCGGCGCACCGCTCGCAGCCCCCTCGGTACGGCTTTGCTTCACACACATTTGGAGGCGTTCCCCTCAAAAGGCGTTCCCCTATCACCTGCTTTGTTACAGCTACATTGCTCCCCCCCCCTTCCTTTTTTTTGTTTCGTCTCTGAAGGCATTTCATGTCTTAAACCTGTTCATAGGAGCAGAAACTGCATCTTCACATAGTGCGTTCCATGCATTGACTACCGGAAGAATTACAAAGCATTCTGAAGCAATATGCCATAATGAGTAATTCTGCAGTTTTAGGACAACAGATCCTTTCTCCGATTCTTCAAAATTAGGGATGGAGTTATACAGTCACTTCCAATTCACACAATTTTAAAGCTACTAGGTGGACAGAGATAATGATTCTTTGAGGTTTGGATTCATCGCAGATTGGATGATAAAAATTTAAATACTTTCATTTGTGCGTGGGCTCTTGCCCCAGTCCACATTCTTTGTTGACTCTGCAAGTGGTTGCATAATAGGATGATGTGCCAACTTACACTCATTTTCTTGGGTTTAAGTGACTATAAAGACGAGGATCCACTAAACATCGTTCCACCTTTTCTCGCAACGAGGCAAGCGCAGCTTTTGACGAGGCCACAAATGACAGTCGATAACGACAGTGATGATTTTGACTGCGACCTATATAATGATGTCCATCTCACTTATTAGACAGATTTTCCCTTTGGAATGAAGCGGTTACGTGATTTTGAACCGAAATTGAAGGTCTCTCTCTTCAGCAGGAACAGACAAGAAGTACTTCTCTTACTTGAGGATAATGTTGATTGCCAGGGTGAAGGGAGTGGCACTCTGTGAAGTCATTAGCAGTATTTGAGTCATGGGAGCACTCGTAGAGAAGAAGGCAGGGGAATTTTTAGGCTTTTGGGCCTTCATCCTGGCATATTGCGATAGAGGCCCATTTCTCTCGCCTTCCTAGAGTTCAATATTCCACGATTTGATGCGGAAAGGAATTCATCCTGAAAGCTCCACCGTGTTGCAACATAATGCAAAGAAGACAGATCGTGCCTTACCCTTGTCAGGAATTGTAGATTCGGATTCTTGTGTATCGATGTCGATAGACCGACTGATTGATCGATCGATTAC